GAAAATCGCAATATGCACTGAGATAGGAGACCGTCCCATTCCAACGAACAGATATTGCATCAATACCTACTTAAAGGGAAGGACAAAGCTGTTAATTCAAAATTCTGAAAACGAATGTCTTTATTTGTTTCTTGACCCTGAAAGACCTTTCTATGTTCCAGTCCTACGTTCATAAACTTATAATTGTTTGACCTTTTCTGAACTGATTGCCCAATCTAATGAATGCACATAGTTTGCAGCATTTACCGTCAGATGCTATGATACTTACGGACCACAACCTATTGTCTACAAAGGAAGACAATGAAAACAGTTCACGCATCACCCGTCATAGATAATCAGTTGGCAACATAAATTGGATGACTGGCAATAATAGCCTTGGCATTATTGATCGACATCAGCTTTCGCGTGCGTGTTCACTAAATGAGACAATCAGCACGCTGCCCATTGGTCATCACCTGCATCGCACGCCGATTGGTGCGCGTGTGAGCGCATGCACTGTGGCTAACAAACTCCGGTGCAGCGGCAATGGTGCTGCCATTACAGTCGCCAGTGCGATATGGGGGGAGAACACGACGAACATAGCTCAAACCAAAGCACCACCTTGGTTACCCACCTGTCTCACAATGGGCTTTTGCCGAGCCACATCTACTTCGGCAGCTGCTTCTTTGTCCTTGGTACTTGGTGGCTCATTGCCATTCTCCGGTCTCGGTACAGACGAGACAAGCGCAAAGAGGTTGCTCTGGCCTACCCTGGAAGGTGTGATTCCTGCTCTAGCAAACTAATTGAAGGTCTAGTGAAGTTGGTCGTCTGCATTGTGGGCGTTATTATCGAGCAGACTACGGTAAAGTTCCTGGAGCGTCCAGCAAACTACACCTATGACTCAATCTACGTCAGCTTCATGCTTGCTGCTGTGGTTGACATCTTTGGCGGTCTGCGCATCGCACTTCCCGAAGGTATCGATTTTCTAGCTCACTCAGTGGCTTTTGCAAATCTTGGGATATTAGCTAGGTCTCATGCATGGGGTCACCTACATTTAACTGTTGCTACCCGAATGCTCACATCCTATGTGGCTATTTCGGCTACGCTGGCACTTGTTTTGGAGCTTCACAGACCTCAATCTCACATCCTTCAATTTATTCGAACTGGGGCTGTAATGCTTCAGGGTGTTTGGTTCTGGCAGGCTGGTATCGTGTTAGATTCACCATTCGCAAGACGCTGGGTGGAGAACGACCACGGCAATCTAATGTTCATCACGATTGCGTTTGCCTGGGACATGTGTGGTGTGGTGCTCTTTCAGACTTTCATTGCTGTCGTCGTAGCAAAATTAATGGGAAGGAGAGAGTTAGAAGCTCCAATGCACCGCCTTCGAGGTAGCAAGCAAAATGGACCGAGTGGACCTGTCAACACAGAGGTAGGAGACGGCTACAAACCTCTTCAATCCACGGAACCACTTGAAATCGACCATTCTAGTGCAGCCAGCTAAACTTTCCAACTTAGCCTTTATCTAATGGACTTTTGACCAAGTGACTGGCCAATCCCGTCATTTGAAATTTTTGTTCAAGTTAATTTTAACTTATTTGTTTGCCTTGCAGTAAAGTTTTTCTTACATGCTTGTTATCTTGTGAAGTAATGGTAGTAATCCTGGGTACAAAATTAGCATAATTTATTTTTTTGTAAACCACGTTCACATACTGTCCAGACTGTATTCGTTCAAAGACAGCTATTCGCTTTAAACCCCAACACCTCCCCACCCAGTGGCCAGCTATTGGCAGATAAAATTTAAGAAATTGGGATTACTTGAGTAGGCTTTGATGTTCGAATCATAGTGAAGATCAAATTTACCTGAACGAACCATATCAGCGGAGTTGGGAGGACAAACACCACCCTCTCTGAGTCTGAGCCATTTTTATGCGAAGGGTCTGTGGTGTCAGGCACAGAGACAAGGTGTCGTTAGCTTACGTGCAGCAAAGGTGCTACGCATGCATAATGTCTTGAAATTTCATGGAATTGACTCCGCATTCAATGATATGGCACGCAGGTTCTGGGAGACCCTAGTCAGATGCACCTTTTAACCTAAGCAACAACAGTAAAGGTTAAATTGGTGTTCCTGTTGATAGGAATTCTGCCAATTGAATCGGTTTAGAAATGAAGTGAGACAGAGAAAAGAACATAAGGCGCATTAACTATAAATCTCAAGGAAATTGGGTGGATTGATGGGCCAGTCTGTAATATTATGGGTAGCGCTACCTCACAGACAGGCAAAAAGAAAAAACGGCAGCCGACCGCGATAATCATTAAGCCCTACCATATTTAGAGCGTGTTGTTTGAATAAATTCAAATGATTTTACAAAGTGCCTGTCAAGCTGACCACCAGACACCATTTGTTAATTTTTGTTTAGGGTTTGATGATGGTTTAGGGTATGATATTTGTAACGACAAATGCATTACGTGAATGAGTCTGAAGTTAGCTGATTTCATCGTAGCCAGTCCTTCATAGCCCATC